TTTGTGTCTGCAACTGTCCTGTAAAGTAACATGCGCCCCAAGACTTTTTGACTGCATACACCTCAGGCTGGCGTGCATTGAAGCATACCAATCACAGGTAAGATAGGATCAATCTTAAAATGCCTGGCGCGTGGGGAATGGAAATGAAAGTGCAACGCCATATATTCTGCGATCTCCAATATGATTTAGTGCTAAAGCCACTGAGGTCGGGGGAGCTTGTAACACGGCTTAATTTACTGAAGGTTGCATACTGTTTGAATTGATCAGGTTTGGGGCAGTAGAAATACATTTGTACAACAGCTCTGATTTTTTTAAAAATGCATTCAAGTTTGAGCCATATAATTTCCTAGTAAATGGAGTATTAGCCCGGCGCACATTATCTTCTTGCAGCATCTCCATCAATTCAGTTTCCTGTGGCTTGAGCAAACGGCTGGATAATCCGCACGCAAATACAAAGTTCTCACAGGAGGCCCATTGCGGCCGAGTCAGTGCGCGTGGGAACGAAAAGCCTGGCGCGCGGGGAATGGAAATGAAAGTGCAACGCATTCTGCATCCAGTCTTGCTACATCTCCACTGCTACAATGGCTTCACGCGAAATCACTCTCAACTGCCTACTATATGGCGATGACCCTGAACACCGTACATTCGAAATTCGCATTGCGAGCACAGAGACTGTAGCATGTTTGAAAGATGCGATCAAGGCCAAGAAGTCGGCGGCCCTTGCCCATATCGACGCCAATAACCTTCAGATATGGAAAGTCTCGATTCCCTTCGACGACTCACAGTATACCACGAGGGTCACAGAATATGCCTTTGAAAACGAAAACCGTCCACGGAGCATGACGACATTGTCAAGCGTATTTGACGGCCCGTTGGACAAACATCTCCATGTCCTGGTGCGAGGACATGATGGTGAGCAATGCTTCATCTTCTGTGTTTTTTTGTTTTTTTTGTTTTTTTGGAATCTTTGATTATACTCCATGGGGGAGCGTCTCCCTATGGTAGAGTAAATCTATGTATGTATCCTATAACTAATATCGTACTTGCTTCTTCCAACGTCATAAACGGGCGCCCTCTGTGTTTCTGAATCATGCACGTTCTTATGCTCTCTGTAGATGATGACCGCAAGCGCAAGGCACTCGACGATAAGGAAGATTCCCGCAAGCGGTTGAGGACAGCAATCAGAAAGGCGGCTCCCTCGTCCCTAGCCGTTGCCAAGAAATTCAAGACTATATCGGGTCCAGATGATGCTATAGGATGCAATCGTCCGTTCGAGAACGACACAATCCCTATCAACTTGCTCGATGAAACGTTTGGGCTCTTCAAGGATAGATGCAGAGAACCTCCTTCGACGAAAGCCATGACGCTTCTCATCGAGCTTGCTAGCGCGGCGTGCGAGTGGCACAGCTCCGAGGATTCGCGAGAGCAAGCCCTTAGTAATTTGTTCGAAAACAAGGCGGATATTTCATTCCTCAAGCAAGTGATCACCATCGTAGTGGAAGAGACCAACAACCCGATCACATGCACTACCGACGGCAACCTCAGCTTCGTCATTATGCCAGCCGCGATTCGAGAATGCAAGAACGAGTTTGGACACGCGCTTAATCAAGCTATTCTTTATTATTCAAGATTTCTCGACATTGCTCTCAACGACTATTCAGACTGTGACAGCCGTTTCCCTTGCATTATACTGCTGGAAACGGGTGAGTTTGAGAATATTGATTACTTACACCCACTCTGCTGACGATACATGCAGGATCATTGCTAGGATTCTACGGCTGCCTTTGGGATGGGTCGCGCGTGAGGGTTGAACCTCTGACACCGATGTTCGACCTGGCGACACATTGCAAGGTCAGGGCAGACAGAGAGGTTATCGCGTCTAGTCTCGATGCATTCATGGAAGCCGTTGCTCGAATCGAGTCCCATTACAAGTCTATCAAGAAAGCCGCAACAAATACTCCAAGAGCGTTTGGCGCAGCTGTCGACGACGATGCGCGCGGCCTTCCTTGCAAAATACACTACGAAGACGCTGGGCGCGATATATGGGTCGCATTTGACGCACGGATCGACGACGAGAAGCTTGTTTTTGCTGCGCATACATCAGGGCCCGAGAACGCTGAGGTGTTGGTCAAGTTCACAGATCGGTACTCAGCGGACGCCCATCGCCATCTCGCTCTTGCGGAGCACGGCGCAGCGCCGAGGCTTCGTGCGTGCTTTCCTGTTGCGGGAGGCTGGCTCGCGGTTGTCATGGAGGAATCGGAATACGAGCAACTGTTCGCAATTGCAACAGAGCTCACGGCCGCGGAGCGGGCCAAGGTGCAGGCCAGAGTTAGAGAAATCATCGACACGCTGCATGGCGGAGGGTTCGTCCACGGGGACATACGAAGCACCAACCTTCTCATCGATCGCGCATCACTTGACGGAACCGCTAGCGACGTGAAGATCCATGTCATCGATTATGATTGGGCTGGACTTGACGGAGTTGCAACGTATCCAATCGGAATCAACCGGTCGAGCGTGACACGCCCAGATGGAGCTGAGGACGGCAAACTCATCACCCAGGCGCACGACATCGAGATGATTTCCTATCTGTTCACGGAGTAATGTGTCCTTTCTGTGCTTCTGCGTTCCGGTCACAATTTGTAACTATCAACGATGCTTTATGAACTCCATTTGTCTCTTGCGAGTGTCATGATTAAGGAATGTTTACCATGAAAGCTTTGTGTCCGTTGAAGTTATTATGGCCAGCGTCGTTCAGAGAGTATTCAGTCCCCGTTCGTTCTTGTGAGGGATGAGTTACGAACAGCCCGACAGGAAATTTCAACACATGTATTGATCCCAGTGTGCCCACCGGAGCACAAGTAGATGAAAGTGAGCAAGTGCTGTGCATTGGTACCACAGAAAGTGGTTTGTCAAGAGAAAATATGGTCTGAGTGTGGCACCGCAAGGTGACATAGTTAGAAAGGGAATATATATTCAAGAGCCGAGGATAATATTCGGATCGAGTTGCACCCATCAGCATGAATTATTTGCAATCGAGTATATCCAGATTCCCAGCGGCCGGCGAGCTGCTGGCCTGGACGGGGTTCGATAGCAGGAGAGTAATATTCTATGAATCGTCTGGCTGTTTTGAAGTGCAAATATATTGATGTGGTTGTGGTTGTGGTTGTGGTTGTGGTTCAAGTTGTGGTTGAAGGAAGGCGGCAGTGCGCGCAAGTCGCGTGACGGACGCGTTGAACGTGCTGCAACCGCAAGGCTTTTCGTCTTTTCCTTCAACCATGGCTTTGCGTCGCTGGGCTCAGACTAACAATGCCAACGCCAACGGCTCTCCTAAAGTCAAAACCCCCAACTCACCCGGACTGAACTCTTCTTCTGCACCTGGCACGCCGGGATCCGCACCATCGTCACCCCGGCCTCGTGCATCGTACATGTACTCGCCTTCAGCGACCCCCTCCATTTCCTCTTCGACGCCATTCGACTGGGATGCTGCGCGATCTATGAAGCCCGCTCCCTATGGATCGCCGGCCCAGGGAAAGCGCAGGATGGCAACAAAAGCGACGGGCACCCCTGCTCGGAAAGGAGTCACGCGGAAGAAGGGTCTGGTGGAAAGGTGCGTTGCGCAGTGCCGGCATGCTGCATTTTGCTCATGGAACGCTTAGAATACGAAACATACCCTCACGGGTAGCGTTCGAGATTGGCATGTTCCCTCACAACGTACCTCTGCCCGAACCGAAGACATCCGCGTGGTTGTTGGGTGGCACCATGCATTTTCTGCACCTGATCGTGCGCATCAGCCAAGTGCGCAAGGTGCCGGATGCGGATGCGGGCTGGGAGGACATGTATCGAGAGAGCGAAGGATCCTCGTGGTTTGACTGGGTACGCTACGCCTCGCATCCGCTCGCAACGTCGGCTCACTCTTCGCTAGACAACCCCCGTGTCTCTCCTGCTCATAGTGGGCTCAGTGCTCAACGCGCTGTATCTCTTCACCCGGGTCAGATTGTACCGCCTGCACCACCGCGCCGACCCCATTGCCTCGCCCAGTGCAAAATTCGTGTCCGCGCACCTCGATTTTGAGCCGCTCGAGCCGGCGTCCGTCCTCTATCGCGTCTCCTCCGGCGCGTGGAGCGCGTGGAGCACCGCATGGCGCTTCTTGCTGAATATGCGCCCGCGGCCTGCGAAGATCAGCGGCCCGAAAATGTCGAAAGTGCAGCAGCTGGACGTGTGGGCGCCCGGGGACCTCGAGACCCTGCTGTTCTGCGTGTACTCCCCGGTACACTGGCTGCTCTGGCTCGCGACGACGTCGGCAAATTGGGTGCTGATCTGCATTATCATGGGTGGTGTCAGCGCGCAGGTGAGGTGTATTGTATAGCAAATATATGCGGAGATGCTGATCGGCTTTAGATGTGGGGCTTGACGCAATCGTTTACGATCCTTATGAGGGACAAGGAGATTATCGCTGCGGAGGTCATGCGCGAATACAACGACGGGGTGCGTTTGCTGTGTTCTCTGTTGCACCGTTTACTGACTAGACTAGTTTGTATATCCGCGAGTGAATCCCATTCGCAAGGATGTAGCCGTCATGACGCATCAAGCAGAGACTGTCAATGTTTGGGAGGATTAAGCTACAATAGGCCAGAGAGATACGCGTACGACTGCTGTTATAGAATGTCTTTTAATGATAATGATATGATATGTTCTTTCGGAATCGGCCTTACTCGTCGCTATTGGGGAGCCACATCATCAGTTTTCAGCATTGGACGATGGCCAGCATAAGTGAGTAATTATTGAGATGACTATGAAGCTTTAAATTTGCTTCACCGAGCGGTTGTGGCGTGAACCAAATCCAAGAAAATCGTAGAAATCGAAAAACAGTTATCACTCTCAAGCTCAGTAAACTCGCTGAGAATCTTGTAGCTTAGTGGTGGTGCATTGCTGGAACATTGGCCACCCCGTTAGTTTTGCAAAATGAATAAAATAAAAATAAAAATGAATGGCAAAAATAATCCCGCCGAGGATTGAACTCGGGACCACTGCATAGCAGGAGTGGGATAAGGTATCCACATAAGTACAATGCTCTACCACTGAGCTACGAGATTGTCAGCGAGTCTGCTGGGCTTTAGACTGCCATAGGGGGTCTGCAGCTTTGCTTTTTTGGCGTGTGTGTCGTGTGTCTGCGTGTGGCGCTTCTGGCTCTTGGCTCATTCGCCTACACCCTTCTTCACATCATTCGCGGCATTTCGAGGCAATAAGGCTCAAGCGCTCAAGCCTCTTAAGAAGTATTCAGGAGGAGGCGGTAATTCCACTTGACACAGTTTTTCATGCTCCCTTGTAAACGGTACCGCATCGGAGTCACCATTGGCAAGAGCAAGTCAGTGCTCTATCCCGAATCGCGGCTCCGCGCACGGTTCCGGCTGGGCAGCGGGCGATGTCATTTTTAGCAGTGTTTCTACGCCAAGTACCACATGGTCATCAGCGCTCATCAGCGTGATCAGGGCGGGGGCGGTGTCTTCTGGTGTCTTGCCAAACATACTTACAGTTCGTGATTCCACGCAAATTCACGTCGGCTGGATGGTAGCTCTGCTTAAATAGCTAACCAGAATGTATCCAGTACTCTGATTCCAATCCATCTCCATCATGTCCATCCAACCGTCAGATATCGGCCTTCCTCTCAAAGCTCTGCGGGAGGAGATCACCCTCGGCGCATTGACTCTCAAGAACAGAGTCATCATGTCTTCGTTGACGCGAAGCAGGTCGGACCCGGTCGACGTCGCAAACGATCTCAATGTTGAATGTGAGCGCGCTGTTGAATCACTCCATGCTGCAGTTTCTCATTTGAGAGTCTGGCTTTAGACTATCGCCAACGTGCCGGCGCAGGGCTCATCTTGTCGGAGGGGACGCTGGTCTCCGCGCAAGGCACCGAGTGGCCTCACGCTCCCGGCATATACTCCAAGGAGCACGCCGATGCCTGGCGCAAAGTAACCGAGGCCGTCCACGGCGCCGGAGGCCTGATGTTTGCTCAATTGTGGCATGTCGGACGTGAGGCCCACCCAGACATGCCCTTGCAGAAGAAGGCTGGGCTTGTGTCTGCTCCCAGTCCAGTCAGTGCCATAGGCGGCAAATTTCGCACCCTCGAGGGTGCGCCAGGCCACGTCGCACCAACCAGGGAGCACCCGGATCCGAATGAGCTGGTGCAAGAGTTCAAGCGCGGTGCCGAGTTTGCCAAAGAGGCTGGATTTGACGGTGTTGAGCTCCACGGTACGCTAGATCTTTCGCAGTTTGAGATAAAATCCCAACTTATCCGATACTTTTGTGCAGGTGCTAGTGGTTATCTCCCTCACCAATTTGCCGACAAGTCGTCCAACATCCGGACTGATAAATGGGGTGGCAGCGTGGAGAACCGCGCTCGCTTCTTTGTCGAGACTCTCAATGCCATTGTGAGATCCAATGTCTTTCTTGCCCCATACAATCGAAGCTGAAGCTTCGCCGTTAGGCTGAAGTCTTTGATTCATCCAGGGTTGGAATCAAGCTGAGTCCGTGGGGCGAGGAGGGCGACCTTAGAATGAACGAGGAGGATACCAAAGAAACCTTCTCATACATCATTGGCCAGTCAGTACCTGCTCTTTTCATGCGAGGTGTCTCTCTAACCGTGCAATTGCAGTGCTGTCAAACTTGGACTGGCGTACGTCCAATTCAGTCGCTCTCTGCCATCATTCGACCCCGTCTTCGACCAACCGGGCATCAACCAAGGCGAGCAGCGTACTCTGTCGCATCTCGACGTCGTCGAGACCTTCGGCCCCATCATCTACGCCTCCGGTGGCAAGACCAAACTCCTCCTCAACGGAGAACTCTCGGCCGCAGAGGCGGAGAAGCTGGTAGCGGAGAAGAAGATCGACGCTGCTGTCATTGGCAGGTCGTTCATCAACAACCCGGATCTGGTTAGCAGGCTGTTCAACGCCCAGCCTCTGAACGAGACGCTGGGCTTCCCTCTCAACTCGTTCGGGTTCTACAACTTTGTTGACAACCCAGCGGTAGGATATGTGAGCATTTATTTTCTGTCTTGCTACCGCTATAGTGCTGACATGCAGTTCAACAGACGGATTACCCTGATATCGCGACTGCGCAGGCCAAAGCCAAAACTGCTTGATTGTTTATTTCCTAAATTAAGCAATCAGTATACCATCCAATCTATGCTGAGCCAAATGGAGATGAATTTGCATGACAAATGGCGAAATATATAGCGTGGCAGGGGGGCAGCGGGCGTGTGTATGCGGCAGTTGGTACGGGGGAATGATGGCGCTTGAAGGTTGGGACTAGATTTTGACTGGCGTTGCAAGTTGCTGAGCAATTCATGTCAATTATAGCAGTTGGTAGAGGACTGCTTACACTCTGCACTGGCCTTGTCCCGGTCTCTTGTGATCATTTGCAACGCTGCAGTGTTGGAAGGAGCACTCAGCAAGGAGCAAGCCTATCGGGGACGCGCAGAACGTCCGGCGTTAATTTTGGCAGAGTTCGCGCCCTCAGCCCGTGACGTCTTCGCACCTGCTGCGTCATTGCGGCAGAAAATTATCCAGATATCCTAATGATAGCCTCTCGCCAGAAAAAACGCGTCCAGGATGGCTTGAACAACGAAAGCCTCAAACGCGCTGCCTGCTGAATGTGGCTGTGTTAACTGTGGCTGTGTGAAGTTGCTCTGTTGATCGTTTATTCTGGTCACGGTATTCTGGGCCCAAAATCGTATATAAAGTCTGGCCCCCAGTTATCTCTCTCTCTCATCAACCACCACAATCTCGCTTTCACTTCTTCTTGTCCACGATGAATGCAACTTCACATTCAATGATCTACCTCGCCGCCGCCACGCCGCCACCAAACCTTCGTTGACCCTGCTCTTCGCCGCCAGCCGCCAACATCGTCAAGCCCGCCAGCACCGTCGAGCCCGCCGACTTCGAAAGCATCATACCCGCCAGCCCCAAGAGCGTCGTGTAACCCATTCAACCTCTCATACGACTTGAATAACCCAACTAACGCCCACTTCTCATCCAGAGTCGCCGCCCCCGCCGACGCCGATGGTTCTGAGCTGCCACACCCTCTCGTACGTTGTCATCTCGCCCCCGTAGACCTACCTGTCTCTCCACATCCATGACTCGCACCCTCGGGGCATTAGCTGCTGGACACGCGAGATTCGTTCGGCGCGTCTAACGACTATGTCACGTAGACCATCACCATATGCTTCGGCAAGGTGCTCTGGAAAGGGAAGGCACACCTGTAATTACTCTCTGAGTAATAAGCTGTGAAGACCAACTCGGGGTATTCTGAAGGGAGGGCGCAGAGGGGCTGAGGCTTCCTCTCCCTTCCCTGACGTCTACAGCTACATGGATTCTCGAGAGATAGGCAGGGCGGATGCGGCGTACGAGTCGGAGGGGCGCTTACCTGGAAGCGATCATCGACGGTATGTCATTATCCTCGCATCGAAACCTTAACTAATGACTGTTTCTGCCAGCGACCACCACCATCCTCGAACCTCGATCACCTGTTGGGCTATCATGCAGTAACCTCCACACATGTCTTCACCTTTCGAATCTCTAACAACGTCTTTGCAGCTAGCCACTCCCGCGCATATACGCACGCGCCTCTCACCAAGCCCTAGTACACTGGGGGTAGTTTGGGGGTAGTTTCATGGCCATTCATTTGTGAGTATCATGTTCAACCTTCGCTTTGTCCACCGCCAACAATATTTCCAGTTCAGCCCGCCCGCCCGCAACAACAAACCCGAACTTCACCAGCAGCGCCCGCGCCCGCTCATCCCACGCTTACCGTCCGCGTGTGTCTCCTACACACCATGTCTGCCTAAACGCCCTCGTCCTCGCACCACCAACCCGCCGACCCACAGGCTGCACGCGCCCTATTGCCACCCATGAGCGGCACTTTCACGAATGCGCGAACACACGAGGCTCTCTAACTAGAGGCAATCGACCGGTACCTCACTGAGCTTACGGCTGCGTTTAAAGTATGCTTCCCCGTATCGTGTGCTCGATGTCTCGCAGCACTGACATATTCATTAACAGCGCCAAAGTGTCTTCCTTTACTTACTACCGCATCGTTATCTTCTGTTCATCTTGTATATCACTCTACTATCTGCACCAATACTGTATCATTGCCTTGTTTCTGCAACTTATGTATCACTATATCATCATCTTGTTTGTCCGACTTCATATATATCACTCTACCAGCTCAACAATTCATATTAGAACTGAGCCAGATTCAGACGTCTCATTTGATTTTCTCATGTATCACCGACGACCCTACAGTTCGTTTGAGCCCTTTTGAACCATTATGGGCCTACTCTACATTCCACTACTGCTCTACGCCCGCTTCTCGCAGATCGCTGACAACCACTCGGGCAACTCGAATTCAGACCACGCGTCCCGAATAGTAGTTGCGGTGAACTCATGCCGATGATACATGCGAATGAGAAGTCTTGTCAAAGCATAAATTATTTGAGCATAAACTATGTAAACATTATCTCACAGCATCTGTCTATAGCTCGACAGTGAAGCGCAAGCGGTCTCCTTCAGGGTAGCAGTGCACCTTCGACATGTCCTCGACGATATAGTGTGCGCCGCAATTCTCAATCTTGGAGCGCTCGTGCGACGTGCAGACAGCGATGACAGTAGCGCCAGAGGCAACGCCCGCACGGATGCCACTTGGAGAGTCCTCAAAGACGATTGTGTTCTTCGCTTCGAAGCCAAGCTCCTTCGCTGCGAGCAGGAACGGGTCGGGGAAGGGCTTTCCGTTCTTCAGGCGCTTGTCGTCAGCGGTGATGGTGATAGGCGGGGGTGTGATGCCAACGCGGGTCATGCACCCGTAGGCGTAGGTCTTAGCACCAGAGGTAGCAACGGCGTAGCGGCCGGCGGGTATGGAGTCTAGCATGCGCTTGACGCCGGGGAGAATGCGCACGGCGCGGTCGACAGCCGTGGCCTCCTCTTGCCATGCCTCAAGTTGGTGGTGAGCAATTTTTTCCTGGATAGAGTCCCAGTCGATGATCTCCGCATGCACCTCATCCATGTCGTCGTCGTCGAAGGTAGACTCACACTCAGCG